TATAGCAAAATATACCCCAAACCCTATTCTAATTAGTAAGGCCCCTATATTAAAAAGGAACCATAATGGAGACTTTTGGTGCTTCTCATGAAGGATGATCAGGGGCGGCCTTCACGAAGCGGATCAACTGTCGGACAGAGAACCCACGGCGGCGTAGCCGCTCAGCCACCTCCCCAGCTCAGTTCGGTCGTTATGCTTGTGATAGGGGTTTAGGGTTTAGGGTTTATGAAGATGTTTCGTATTATCGCGTGACCCTCCTGTCATCATCAATGTTCCCATTGTGAGCACTAATTAGACTACTAGCAGTACTGGTGATGTAGTAGCAGTACCCCTAAACCCTAAACCCTAATCACAAGTGTCTTCGCTCTCTCATCTGCGCAGAGTCCTGCGAAAGCCTCAGAGACTCGTAGGGCAGGCAGTAAGAATCAAATGTAAATATCTGTCCACAAATATATACGTATATATATATATATATATACGTATATATATATATATCTATATATATATATACATATGTGTATATACACATATGCATATATATATATACACATACATGTATACACATACACATGCATATACTATATACAGATACTAGACACGTATGTATATATATATATATATAATATAAAGATATATATATATATTACGTAGATAGATCGATAGATAGATAGATAGATAGATAGATAGATGGATAGATAGATAGATAGATAGATAGATAGATCGATAGATCGATAGATCGATAGATCGATCGATAGATCGACAGATCGATAGATCGATAGATCGATAGCTTGCTCGCCAGCTAGCCAGATGGATAGATAGACGGATAGATAGACGCCTTGAGCATGAGCATGCCAAGTTACGTCTCGAGTCTCTAGCTGCATCTGGGCGTCGTGGGCTAGGGTCATAAACATCGAATAACCCAAAGGGTCCAGGTATGTGTATGGGCAACATTCGGCCGTTTTTGTCCCACAGGGCATTTTGTGCCATATGGTCACTTAGGGTTTAGTACTTTGAGCTTGGGGCCAGTTAAACGGCCTAAATGACAATAGTTGTGTGGGTGATTGATCGAATAAAAAAAAAGATTCCACGGTCAAACGATAGCAGCACGTCGAAATCGACAAAAATAGGGTTACCACTTTATGGGTTTGACGGATCTTTGCATAAAAATATAGCATGTACAATTCGAGCTTGATTATAAACTCTACCGTACGTACAAGCATGTGCGATGTATCCTATCTCTACGCTTAAAATCTTATTGTAGTGCTAAAACACATTATATACTAGAGCAGCAACTGCATCATCCCGGCCTTTTGCTCGTGGGCAGAGCTGATTCTGGCACTGCCGGTGTCATGAATATTTGGGAATATATGCGAAATTCCTAGATTTATCTATAGATAGAGAAATATTCCTAAGTTGTATATGCTATGTATCATAGTGACATAGACATAAATTAGTGCATTCCGGATCGCATGCATCTAGTAGATAATGTAACCAATGGTGATATTATATATATATATATATCAGTATATATTTATTTTAACTAATATGTATATATGTATATACAGCTATAGATACTTTCATTTATATACCCGCAGGACCGCTGAATTGCAGCACGCTTGGCCCTCGCCGGCTGGTTTAAGGTACCGGTACACGTACATGCATGTCACGTTAAGGTGATATATAGAGATATATGTAGCACCAAAATATTGCTGTAAATCCCTTGCCAGGACCCATTTTACAGGCCTCGGCTTTTGTGGGTCATGTTTCGAAATATGAGGGATCGGGCTATTTAGTATATATGTACTATATAGGGAACACTACTTTAGCTGAGCTAAACTATGCAGATGTACGTAGATTGAATTCGTTTTTAGGTTCGCTTTCGAACCATGGCATGGTTGATGAAGTTCAATGCACTGCAGAAGCAAAGATCAGGATCCGCCTCCCCATCCCATGCATTGCTGTGTGCATGCTTGCAGAGCTTTGCAGCAGTGAGGGGTGCATGTACTGTGCTTGTGATTCGCTGTGCAGTGCATGCATGTACATAGCATGCGAGGGCCCGAACGTGCAAGCATGCAGCATGTCGAAGCTATGCGGCAGCACGTGCACTGAACATACCATAGCCTGGCCTAGCCAACCCTAAACCCTAAACCCTAAACCCTAAACCCTAATAAACCTTGCAAGCTTCGGAGCATGTACGCATC